GCATTTTTTGCGCGTTTACGGCCCGTCGGAGCCGTTAACAACTTCTCACAATTACTCCAATCCCTGTACAAAGGGCTTAGGGTTAAGAGTTTTGAGCTTGAAATGCCCTTTCGATTTTGTGGTTTGCAACTGTCAGAACCTCTCAACCGGTTGGTGCAATCCATGGGGTGTTCTTCCTGCTGCGCTTGCGGACAACCCTGCAGCCTGAAACATAATTCCTGAACACTAGGGGTTTAGGGTTTAGCCCTGAGCACCCCAAACCTCGTCAACCAAAAACTGACCCTTCAGGCCAAGAGACGGCTGGGATGACGACATGGTAGCGCCCAGGTACTAAGGCCTGACATTGTGGGAAGGCTTGCGGTTTAGGACTGCCTTCCCCCAAGCTGACATGGAAGCCGACAGAAGGTCCTATAAAGACTGCTGTCCTTTTGCGGGATGCGACATGCTGTTCCACGTTACTGGGCAGAGTGAGGGCTTAGGGTCTCTAACGAATAGGGACCCTTGTAGCTAATGAGGGCTATATATGGCGCAGTATCTAAGAATCTAGAGTCTAGAGGTACAGGGCTCTACAATTATCTGAGTGATCGGTGTGGAAACGGGATTGCGGGTCCCCAGCACATAACCTGCTAACAACCCCTTGCGAACCTGCCAAATCGGAACCCTCTTGCAGCCGTAGGATGATCAGAGTGTGCAGGTAAGTCAGCAAGTAAGCTTTGTTGGGACGGTTCGCATCTGTGTGGACCCTAAGCCCTGAACCCTAAACAACAGCCAAGTTTTGCTAGGATTCTGCAGGGAATTGATGCTGCAAGCTGCCTACATCCGTGTAAAAAGCTTCATCTTAGGTCCACACTTTTTACACGTTAGCGCTGACATGATACGATGACCCTAAACCCTTTTGGAAAGCCATAACTTTGATGCTTAGCAGTTTCTGCCAATCCAAAAAGTCCTTGATCTGCGGAGTCCCTACGAGAAGGAACCTAGCCTTTGGATGCATGCAGGGGGCACCTTCTCTCAATACCCTAAACCCTAAGGGTTGAGGGTTTAAGGTGGCCATCACTTTTAAACCCTCAACCCTAAAGTCCGAAATTGGGGGACCTAGGGTGGTGCAAGGATTTCTTGCATCAATGGTAAGTTTGAACAATTCAATGTGGGATTCCAAAGCAGCCGCCGCCGAGAGTGGTCCCCACTTTAACTGCCACAAATCAAGTTTGGGGTTAAGGGTGTAAATTGGGTATAAATTATGAACCCTTGAGCTTCAAGTATATAAACCCTGAAAAGTAGTTTCCCCTTTTCTTTTCCATCATCCCTATACAACCCCTATGTACACTACGCAGGGCCTACGTAAGGGCTTGTATGGAAGAGTACAGGGACGTGAGAACAAAGAAGCCTAAATGCCGAAAACCCATCCGAGAGCAAAACCCCTACCACCACCAGGACCCTCCTTGTACCCTTAAATCCGGGTATATGGCCCCCTGTAGTGGGTATTTGGGGTATATAGATGGTAGATGGAGGGTCTAGGTAGAGAATTCAGCTTTGCAGACCAACTATCCATTCCAAAGAGGAATCCAAGTCGGGCCTTGGCCAGCAGGTTGCCAAAGCTGGCGAGGATCGGCAGAAGGTCCACTAAATCTAGAAGTGTATACTTTCCTTTTGCCGCTCAAGCTCCTCCTTGTAAATCATCAGGCGGGTTAAGCCCCTGAGACACGCTGTCAGCTGTATGTCACGAGCTTCCTTTCCTTTTTCAGGGCCCAAGCTGGATTTGAATTTCAACCTAGATCGTTGCAGGTTCAATTTTCAACTCTGCAAACCTTGGGGGATCAAGGAGGATATTCATCGGATGATTTTAAGACATTTCTCTCTGCTCCTGCCCGAATCCTTGAGCCCAGTAAGCGCAGGGAAATCATTTTGCCTTCAGGTGGCCATTCGCAATTAATTTTAGGGTTGCGATTACGGAATCTAATCTGAAAGACTACAATAACGAAAGCCCATTCTCTACTATATACCCATATTCTAGTGACTCCATTTTAAAGTCCCTTCAAAGCAACAAACCCTAAACCCCCAACAGTTTGAGGCTGCAGATTGCCTGCTGTAGGGTTCAAGTCCATATTCCTGGAGCGGCAGGGCTTGATGCATGAGATGCTTGGGTTTAGGGTTTAGGGGCTGACATAGCAGAAAAGCCTGAGAGATCAAGCGCTCTAGCACATGACAGGTAGAAGTTTTGTTTAGTGGAAACAAACTAAAACACTTCAGTGCGAAGCCTCTCAGATCTACACGTTACAGAGGAGCTACAATCCATATTTCCAATATAACTTGTGGACATGGATCCCAATCAGGGACTGTGTTGGGGACTAGACTAAACTACCACAGGGACCCCTATGTCCACCCTTTTAGTTTTCCTTGGCAAGTCTTTGGTCAGCCTGATATTCACAGTAGCTCATTTGGGTCTCTCGAAGCCCTTCAAGCGGCCTTCATATCCACCTCTACGCTCCCCAAACTGACCTGGAAACCCATCTAGCCACTTTTTACAGGGGCTTTAGTCTTTCTACCCATTGCTGGTCTCTGCAGCTAGCTAACGCACTTTCGGCCTCACAAAAACCCCTAAACCTTACCCCTAGACCTGAACTACAGGCTTCCCCTAAGCCCTAAACCCTGAGGATAAAACATCCTTGGGTTTATGTGATGGTCGGTATGCGAGCCCTGCCCAGGAACTGCAGATGCACGCATTCCCATCACAGGACCCGCCATTTTGAGACATGCGCACGGTGCCCCCCCCCGCAAACTCTAAACCCTAAACCACCGTAAGCCCTCAAAGCCCACATAGCTCCCGCATCCTCACCCATATGTTTAAACTCCAACCCCTGAACCCTAGAGCCGAAATAGTTGTTTCTGTTTTCTTTCTCCATGATTCCTATATAACCACTATATAACCCTTATACACTCACTACCAAGCCGCTACATAACCCTAAACCCAAAACCCGTCCCCCGCCCTCTTTTTCAGAGCTTGTATTTGGCACCGGCAGGTTTCAAGGGATCTGGATGCCTTGCGCCCACCACCGCGCTTCTGAAGCTACCAGATCTTGACTCCTACATTCAGGGGTTTCCCAAGTTCAGGGTTTAGGGGTTTGGGGTTTAGGTACCTTTCCTTAAAGGGGATAGAGGGGCTCTATAAGGATATTGAGAGAAATTGATACATGGTGGCTTCTCAAAACTTAGCGTTTAGGGTTTAAGGTTTACGGTGTAGGGTTTAGGGGTAGTTACGTTTTAGGGATTCCTAGTTTAGGGATTATAGTACAGTAGGGGGTCTATATTAAGGTCCTAACTTTGCGAACTGCCATTTGGGTGGACTACGCGTTGGGGGCCCCGACAAGGGGACCCTTGATTTCCGGAAACCCTAAACCCTGCATTTTCCTGTATGTCCTTGCAAGTCCGTACCCGGAACCCTAAACCCTAAACCCCTAATACAGCTCAGAAGCACTAAGGCTTCTGGACACTTTTGGCCTCCAAGGCCTTCAAATGCCCTGGACGCCTATTCGCATCCGGGAACGGGAACGTCCGAAAGTTTCGGAACATTGTCAACCAAGAGGATGTTATTTGGGTCTGAGCCCTTGGGTTAAGGGCCCCCAAATTCCTGGAGCAAAGGTACACCCCCAAGAATGCAGTGGTTACAGATCTTTGGCTTAGGATGGGGTCTAGTCAGGAATCTGAAGCAGCAACATCTGCCAGTGCAGGGTTTATACTCCCCTTTAAGTAGATAGAATATGTCAACATTTTCGGATTTGGGTTTTGTCCTTGCGCCAATCAGAACTGATTCCAGGGTTTCGCTTCATCAGCCATATCCCTCCAAACCCTAACTTTCAAAAGCATACTTCCCCAACATAGCAGTAGCTCCTTCAAGAACTTCGGGCTCCCAACTCCTGATCACCAGCATTGATTGCAGGGTGACTAGGTAATATCCAAAAGCTGAAAACGCGAAATTCTCCTATGCGCCCCAAGTGTTTCATCCAAGATGTACAATGCTGAGCCGAATGCCTGAGAATAGTTCCCTACGCAGCACAATAATTCAAAGACATCTACTCATTCCAGAGCCATAAACTCCAAGAATGACCCTGGAGCATGCAACCCAAAAATCCTAAGCCCTCACTGGTCTCTCAATTCCGGCGCAGCATGGGCGACGGAGCTGATGCCTGGCAGATCACGGGCGCAATGTACGGGCTTGGACCCGTAGTTTGGGGTATATCATTATGTCATGCCATGGTTACATGAGGGTTTGTTCTAAAGAGAAGGCATCTGAGATTCTTCAGACCCTCTAATAAGGTTTAAGGTTCATGAAGCAAGTCAGGGGTTTGGACGTCTGTCTATCTATTACTTCTCATATCTTGGTACAGCGCTTGCATTGTTCATAAGAAGCTCCTATGCAACCCAGCCCTGCACCCAAAACCATAAGCCCTTAACCCAAAAGCCCTAAACCATACACCCTAAACCCTAAACCCATTCCCATCATGAAGCAAAAGCCCCATTGAAAGTCACTGTTACCAGCCCACGGCTCAAGTGCTTTACTCCCTGATGCCTTAGTTAGGGATTAGGGTTTAGGGTTCTGATAGGGTTTAGGGTTCAGGGGTTTAGGGTTTAAGGTTATTATAAGGTTTAGGTTTATTATAGGGTTTAGGGTTTAGGGTTATTATAGGGTTTAGGGTTTAGGGTTATTGTAGGATTTAGGGTTATTATAGGGTTTAGGGGTTTAGGGTTTAGGGTTTAGGGTCACAAGTACCACAAGAAGATTTAGGTGGCATAATAGCCCCTCAATCAAACCCCCTTTGAGGACCGTTGCGGGGGACCTGTGGGGAACCTAGGCATTCAGAATATTTCCCTTTCCACTAACAAGTACCACGGGGGCTCCTAAAATCAGGGTTGCCTTCTTGGGGGTCTGCATAATAAGGATTATGGCATCTTCCCCTTATTTTGGGAAACTACAATTTAGAGCTCAAAGCCACTTGAAAACCTATGTGTTTGAAAGCAGTTAGTGGGGAACAGCGGAATATACTCTGTAGGGCTTAGGGTTAGGCTTAGCAGGGAATACGGGCATACATTATGTTGGGTTCAAGGTTTAGGGTTAGTAGGAATTAACGGAATACATATGAGGGTGTAGGTTTAGTAGGGAACAACGGAATCTATTTTGCAGGGGTTATGCAGGGATTATGTTCCCATATTCGCTACGTACCACCAGTAATCGTTCCGATCTAGTTTTCAACCCACACGCCAACAAAGGAAAAGAGATGGAAGCTATCCTGTCATTTGGTGTTTAGGGCTTAGGTGTTAAGGCCTCGTTAATTATTTTGCATGGTTTCATCAGAATCTTAACGTGGGGGCCTATTTGCATTTAACAGGGTTTTGGGGTATGCGACACCAACGCCCAAGAAGATTCATAAGGAAAAGTGGTGGTCTGCATTTAAGCTTCTGCAGTAGCAGCAGGCAATCCGCTGCCTGCTGACAATCAACATCTACACATTGCACTATCCAGCCAAGCCAAGCAAGCGCCCCTTGTAGGCGCCTGGGAAGGCGGGTGTGTTCATGCTGGAACTTGACATGCCATGTTCATCGATCCTTTCTCTCGACGGCGTCTGACGTGGAAGCGTACAGCTCCCAAAGCTCTATAGTCCCCCTTAAGTAGATAGAATATGGCTTTGGGCTCTTTTTTGTAATAAGATCCCCATATACCCCCATATTCTATCTACTTAAGGGGGACTATATGACTTTTCGCGCTTCAGCATCCCTTTTGGCTCTGGCCTCCTGTTGGATGTACAGGGTTTAAGGGTTTAGGATGGTTTAGGGGTTTAGGGTTTTAAGCTTTAGGGGCTTAGGGTTTAGGGTCTTAAGGTTTAGGTTTTAGGGTATGTACGTGTTCTGGCTCGCGTGCTGCTTGGGTGCGGGGGGTTGTGGGCGAGACATCTACAGGACCCCTAGGATACATTGGAAGCATTGGAAGGATATGGGAGTTGCCGAGCCATGGGGCCCCCGTTTATATGTCCTCAAGGACAACGCTGCTGAGTAATTATAGGAAACTTTTGGAGGTTTGCCATATTTTGGGAACCTCTCAACTCTAATCCTTGTGACACATCCCATCCATCCCCCACAAGCCCCTCAAAGCTCTAGCTTCATGTCCAGTCAATTCTTGGCTATACCCCTTAACCCTATAGCCCCCCTTTAGTAGATAGAATATGGGGTATATGAAAGATCTCATTATAATATACCCATGGTTATATTCTAACTACTTAAGGGGGATTATAACTTCTGAAGCCCAATTTTTAAACTCATCGGACGTTTCCCTACCTAGCTACAGTCGCCACCTGGCGAAGATCGAAGGTGTCCAAGTCAGGAACAGAACTACCTTGGGGCGTTCAGTTAGGGCTGAGGATTATTCATTTAGGGTTTAGGGTTTAGGGACTCAGGGTTTGGGAGTTAAGGTAGGGTTACGGGTTCAGCTTGGTTTTAGGATCTTAGGGTTCAAGACTTCCGTTCAATCAGTGTTTAGAATTTTATGGCCTACCTCACCTTGTGGAATCCACTCTTTTAGAGTTATGTCCTCTGTTTTTTGGGTAACCAGGACTTTTGATGGTTGCAGGTAGGGATTGGGCTTTCCTTGACAGGTAGAAACCACTGCAAAGTTTTGGGAAATTTCGGCGAGATTCGGTCTCAGAATCAACGCCCGCCAACAAAAACGTGCAATTGCAAGGAAGCATTCTATAACATAGTATCGCATAATGCTATCGTAGAGTAGGGTATTAGGATATAAGGGAACTACGAGCAGAAGATCTACATGGACCTATGACATAGTAGACCCCCTAATACCTGCAACCACTACTTGTGCTATAGTCTAAACTCCTAGTATCCACCTTAATGAATCGTATAGTAGTCCCCTATAGAAGCGCCTAAATACACCCCTTTAACGAGTTTAGACCATGGCTCACTTGGCAACAGCCTGCCGCTCTTCGAGACTTCCGGGCCCAGGGGTCCAACTACACGCTCACATGAGCTATGGTCTAAACTCCTTAAGGGAGGTTATAGAGGGGATTCTATCGGGGAGTAGTACGGGGCGTTACTCAGGGAGGATATTAGTAGCTCACATGAACAGCCCGCCCCTAGACCCTAAACCCAACAGCACAGCTCTTCAGATCGAAAGCTCTAAGGCCCAAGCATAATGCAGGTGCCTACATGATGAAAGTCGGGTTCGAGATATGAAGATTAGGGCGTTTTGGTAGACCTCGTAATAAGCATTATGATCTTCCAATATGTGGGGTAGAAGGGGGGCTGGAAGGTTTGAACTTGAAATGGGCCGTCGTATGAAGGGAAACGAAAGGGGTGACCAGACGCGCACCGTACAACCAGAACCCTCCAATGTAATGCCTTTCTGGGGGGGCCCTACCAAGAATTTTAACCACAAACCATACCAAACCCCAAAAGGAACGACATTGCCGGGTCCAGGTACAAGCCAATGATCTAAATGATGCAGGGTCAATCGCTGGGCGTATTTAAAAAGGGGGACCTCAAGGACCCAAGAAATTTACACCCTAGACGCCCTCAAGGCGTGTATGGAGATTACAAAAGAATGACAGGTGTCCCTATTCTGAATAAGCACGGCCAAATTTCATTTTAGCTGTGTGTTGGGCCAGGGGTTTAATACGCAACGGCTGGACATCCCTACTACAATTGTTGTTTGGAGAAACCTTATACAGGCGCACATGACCCTTTAAAGGACCAATAGAAGCCCTGAAACCCAGACCGCATCTTTTGGAAGCCCTAATCCTCAACCCTTAAACCC